TGCAAAGTGCGCTCCAGTAGTAACTTGTTCGCTCGAAGTGATGCGATCGAATTTTTAGTTTTCCAAAACTGATTTTGAACTTCAAACTTGCATTCAAAGTGTGTAAACTAGCATGACATGCTCAAATCTTCAAATATACAACCGTAAGCATGGATAGAAAACTAATTTACAAATCGAAGGCCAAAACTTCATGAATTCACCATGCAACACCCAGTTGACATCAAATTCCTTTCCAAAGCTTTAAAAACATGCAATTGAGTTCCAAAACAACATATTTGATGGATGCATGTATGATATATCTCCACTCCAAACTTAGATGACATGAACCATACTCAAAAGTATGAAACTCTACTAATTTATGCATGCATGTATGAATTGACTCTAAATTCATCATCTTTAGCTTATTTCTTGTATCTAAATTCACAATCTTCATGAATACACATATTGATGACTTAAACTCACAAATTAAGGTTCAAAAGCTTACATAAAATCTTCAATTAAACTTAATTTAGCAAAATCTTGAGCCTCTCTTCCAAATTCTTTAATCTCCAAGCCAAATTCTTCAAGAATCAAGCATTTCTCTCTCTCTCTCTCTCTCTCTAAAGCTCTCATCTTGTTGAATTTGAGTTCAATTATGGATTAAGCTTCTAACTTAATATATATATATATATATAGGCTAGATTAGCTTAATTAACTAATCAAGGATTAAGCTAAGTAATTAAAGCTTAAGTTAATTAACCCAAGGCTTAATTTAATTGATTTAATCTAATCAATTTATTCTGAATCATATTCTAATCAAACTTCTTAGTAGGCTCTTAAAAGTATGGCAATCACAATAAACTAATTAATTTCAATTTCTGACGCCATTAAGGCCTTCAATTTCAAATTATAACAGAAGTCACAACAGATATCTCAATGGTTAACAGATATGAATCCAAAAATCACATTAAACACATAATTAACATTCAAATTCACATTAAGCACATAAGAGCATACAAAATTAAAGGATTAAAAGCATAATACATGACGGAGTGACACAAAAATGTTTAAGAATGTCTAGAGCTGCTGTACAAACTCATTTTGGCCAAAAATCAACCTTTTGTAAAAATGACCATTTTACTCTTGAACTCGTTTTTAACCAAAAACTAACTTTTTAACCACAAGAAAGAAAGAGAAGCTTGATTGCACTCTAATCAAACCTATTTTCCAAAATTAGTTGCCCATTTTATTAAAAACATTGATCAGGAGGTAATACAAACTTACTTGGGCCACAAGCAAGCGCAGATCATGGAATGTATGTAGGGATGGCACGTGTACCACAATAAAGGGTGCGTGCACACTATCATTGCGTGTGCGCACATCCAAGCGTGACAAAGTTATTTTTGGAAACTTAGGCCTTGTTTGGTTTGTGTTTCCCAAAAATTTTTGGGAAAAATTCTCTACAAATAAGTTTTCAAAAGTAATCAAACCAAACAAATTTTCCCAAAAAATTTTTCCAAAACTTGTTTGGTTTACAAGTTTTCCAAACAAATCTCTCTCTCATACACATCAAATCAATCACTTTTTTCAACGAAAACCTTTGCCCATTTTTCACCGCACCCAGGCGTCGATGTGGCGCCCCTTGCTCACTTTTCAAAACACCCGGAGGCAAGCGCAATGCGTTACTTGAGGGTAACGACCTAGCATTTAGACGATTCAAAGTAGGATTCATTTTCATAAGGGATCCGAACGGTTTTTTTACGTGTTGGCTGTCGACTACTTAACACACAACCCTCCTCCTTAACCCGGGCTTGGGACCGGCGGAGTTGTTAACAACCCCGGCGGAGTTCAAATGACATAAACCATGCTAAAAAAATATGAAACTCTACTAATTTATGCATGCATGTATGAATTTACTCCAATTTCTTCATTCTAAGCTCAATTCTTGCATTTAAATTCATAATTTTCATGAATACACATATTGCTGACTTCAATTCACACAATTCTTGACTGATACAAATTCTAACAATTTCTTGACTGACTTCACACAATTCTTCAACCTCTAACCAAGTCTTTAAGATCAAGTCTTCTCTCTCTCTAAATTGAAGTCCTCTCTCTAAAACTCTTTTCTTGCTGAATTTTGAGTTCAATTATGGATTAAGCTTCTAACTTAATATATATATATATATATAGGCTAGATTAGCTTAATTAACTAATCAAGGATTAAGCTAAGTAATTAAAGCTTAAGTTAATTAACCCAAGGCTTAATTTAATTGATTTAATCTAATCAATTTATTCTGAATCATATTCTAATCAAACTTCTTAGTAGGCTCTTAAAAGTATGGCAATCACAATAAACTAATTAATTTCAATTTCTGACGCCATTAAGGCCTTCAATTTCAAATTATAACAGAAGTCACAACAGATATCTCAATGGTTAACAGATATGAATCCAAAAATCACATTAAACACATAATTAACATTCAAATTCACATTAAGCACATAAGAGCATACAAAATTAAAGGATTAAAAGCATAATACATGACGGAGTGACACAAAAATGTTTAAGAATGTCTAGAGCTGCTGTACAAACTCATTTTGGCCAAAAATCAACCTTTTGTAAAAATGACCATTTTACTCCTGAACTCGTTTTTAACCAAAGACTAACTTTTTAACCACAAAAAAGAGAGAGAATCTTGATTGCGCTCTAATCAAACGTATTTTCCAAAATTAGTTGTCCATTTTATTAAAAACATTGATCAGGAGGTAATACAAACTTACTTGGGCCACAAGCAAGCACAGATCATGGAATGTATGTAGGGATGGCACGTGTACCACAATAAAGGGTGCGTGCACACTATCATTGCGTGTGCGCACATCAAAGCGTGACAAAGTTATTTTTGGAAACTCAATCTCTGTACATTTTGTAAGGGAGGCAGCATGGGAAGCGATGGAAGTTGCCCTAGCTTGCTCCCCACGCCCCATCAATCCTATATAAGGAGCCCCTCCTCTCTCTTTCAAAGGGGTTAAGAAATTTTGAACTTTTGTGAACTTTTAAGAGAAAACCTACCCACTTTCTATCCCTCTCTTCCTTAGCTCCAAAACACACACATCTCTACAGCAAGTCTAAACCTCTAAAAAACACCTAAGGACAAAAAAGAACTTGAACCCCAACTCGGAATCCAAGTTTTATGGCGATGTTTTACTTGAAATCCATTTTGTGAAAAATCTTTATTTTATTCAAAGATGTTGCTTTATTCTTGTAACTCAAATGAATAACACTTGTTTTTCTCAATCACATAGCTTTAGAGTTAGTTAGAGGTTTTAGGGCCTAAAATGAATTTATGTGAACAATTAACTACGAAAATCATAAAATATAAAGTGCATATAGGCCAATCTTCGGATTGGGTAAAAGGGGGTCCTTCCATGCAAATGGACTTCCCCTTTTGTATCTGAGCTCCTGAACTCGAATTTTTTTGGTTATGATGGATTAGGCCTTAACTTAATTTTCATTGTTAAAGGTTTCTTAATTCCCCTTAAAAAAATTAAGTGACGACTCTTTGTTGGTCAAAGCAAGTCAGTGTGGGATGCATGTCTTAGACTCAAAAAAGGAAAACGACACCCACAATGAGCAAAGGAGATTTAGAGGAGAGGTGTTAAAGAAATAATACCAAGGGCTTGTGGAAGGGATTGTGTTATCTACTTATGCAAGGTAAACTTAAATTTTTCTTATGGAAATGTGCCCATAACATTGTGTCAATTAAGGAAGTCCCCTTTGAAAACAAGGTTGTCATTGATCCTTTGTGCCCTGTCAATTAATTGCCAGTTGAATCTACGGTCCACCTCCTAGCTAGATGCCCTTCTGCCCATTGTGTTTGAAAGGCATTGCCGCTTAAAGTGGATATGAACTTAGTTGAGGGGTACTATTTTGGGGATTGGTGGATTATTCTCTTGGAGTGATGGAAAGATATATAATGTATGATGGAGGATTTAGTTGTGAGGATGGCAATCATTTGGCGTAGTTGGAAGGTTCGAATCATGCACATTACAATGGAACAATGCTCATTTGGAGGTTTCTTGTCGCATTGCTATAGGTGAAGAACATGATTTTCTGCATGCTAGTATGAATTGTGGCAAAATTTCAAAGGCTATTGGGATGCCAAATGGAAAAATCGTGAAGTTGGATGGATGAAAGTCAATTTTAATAAAGGGCGTCACAAGGAAGGGTTAGGTAGAGAACTAGGGATGATTATCATGGATGTGAGCGGGAGTTTCATTATTGCAAATGCAATTTGTGTTCCATATGGGAAGAAAACACTGTTGATAGAGGCACTGGTTGCTTGAGATAGTAAACTCATTGGGAAGTATGGTGTGGATTGTCATGAAGTTGGCTTGATCATTGAGGATATATGCAAGTCGCTGAGGGGCTTTCAATAAACTATAGTTAGTTGGATTAAGAGGGGTTGGAATGGTGTAACTCATGTTATTGCTAGACATGTTCTTAGAGGCATTGTAACTTATACTTGGGAGTCTCCTTTGTGGATACTCTTCCCATTTGTGAGGGATGGTTGTCCAAAATTTTTTTCATTCCAATTCCCAATAATATTACTTTTTCCATGGAAAAAAAAAAAAAGATAGGTAAAGAATTCTCTAACCCTAATCTTTTTGTCTACCTTGTTACAAACTCAAGAAAATTATCTAAAATTATACACAAAATTAAAATGTGCACACAATATTCATTTTGGATATGACCCACACCACACTATGTTTAAATTTACACCTTACACTAAATTTTTTGGGTAGAACTCTAATTGAATTTTCTTTCTTTCTTTCTTTCTTTCTTTCTTTATTATTATTATTATTATTATTAATTTTTTTTTTTGGTGTTACAGCTAAAAGTTTTTTTATTATGTTTCAAAAGAAAGGGTAGTATCTTTGTTTTATTTGGTTATTATTTCTTCAACTGCCCATTTGGTGGATGTAGTTTTGTTTAGATTAGTAGTAAAACTTTGTTGTTGAAATGACATCTTACAAAGTGCTCACCCAAAGACTACTTTACAATTAAAGCATTACACATTACACATTACACATTTTATTGCCCGCTTAACTAGGAAATTAATTCGGGCAAATTTCAATCATGGAAACAATAATGATAGTATTTCTTGTTTTAAAAAAATGGAGCTAAAATTGACTAGGAACACTTTTGTATTGAACTAAATGAGAGCTGCATAGAGAAGCTGATTCCAAGTATCAGGCAAACCCGGAAGACACCAATGACTACAATCTGTGCCAGTGTGATCGCCACTGTAAACTGTTGGATGAGCATCCTTGCGATATTGTGAGAGGGTGGTAACGTCGAGCAAATAAACAGGTTTCTTGATTCTGCTCAACACTTTGCTCATAACCACTGCAGATAGAGGTGTACCTGCTGGGTACCTCGTACCGAAAAATGGTTGTGTCTCACCATAGCATGTCTTTGATGGTTCATTCCAGTCCTTGCCTCTGCTTTCACAAAAATAAACAATTAGTTGTGCCTTCGCTTTGTTAGTAAACTTGTATAAAGATTTTATTAGTAATTTTCATCTCAAAAACCTTAAAAAGTTACATTTAAAAGAAAAAATAAAATAAAATAATTGAACAATGTAAGAGGACGGACTTACAATTGTCACTTAGATATCAAATTATCTCAAGTAGCCCATGGTTATAGGCATGATATAAATATATAAATAAAAAAAAGTATCTAAAAATAAAATGTATATTATGTATTCAAATTTGATTTGATAAAAGTAGCATTTAAAATAAATCTGGTTCACATTTTGTTTTTTGAAGTGTGTAGTATTACTGAAAAAATAAACAATGGTTGAATGCCTGAAAGAAAAATAGTCTTACTCATAATGGGTGGGGGAGATCCCCTGAAAGAAAACTTTGGTTTTTGAAGGGTTAACATTTAGGTTCACCCATCTAGCCCATGTGGTCATCCCTTTATAGTATGCAACTAAACGGTTCATATCTTTGTACCATTTATTTCCCTCTTGCATATAATCCCATCTGCAATAGAAACCCACAAAATTAGTAGGACCAAAATTGTTATTTGTTCATTGCTTTATTACCCAATTTCGTGTAGCAACTAAATAAAAAAATGTTTGTTTGTCATTGAAATAAAAAATGACTATGATGACATATAACACTATTTTCGAAGGTCAATTATATGAAGAGAAGAATTGGCGTCTTGAGCTCAATGATAGTATGGGAGTTATTTTGGATCAAACACTAAGGTCAAGTACCATTTATAAAAAGTAGACGTGAATCTTACGGTTGGGTTCTTCCGGTATGGGTCCACCAATGCCATGAGTTAAATATGAGCATGTCCATGCCTCGCCACGCATTTCCATTTTGGATTGAGTCCAGCTTCAAAACCCGACCCGCCTTTTCATTTACTATATCCACTAGGTATGGTGTGCGATATAGTAATAACTTCACTCCATAATCCTACATACATACATACATTGATACAAAAATGTTATACAAAGTTCATTACTAATATCCTTGTGAGAGCGGGGTGCGAAATACAATCATATGCATTGTTAACTTATGATACCAATATAAATTTGCTTGTATATGTTTTAGAAAATAACATTAGAAGCATCCTTGTCACATAATATTTCCTAATTAACTTAAATTTTTTAATTACATTGAGATATTAATTTGCAATTATGAGTAAATGGTTGACAAATTAGAAACCATTGAAATACACAATATACCTCTGGGTGCTATTTATTATATAAACAAAAAATAAAATAAAAGACAGATCATAAAATGTTCGCTCTATAGATTTCCCCGCTACATCAATTGGGTATCAAAGCCTTGCTCGATTTCTGATATGGTGCTAGTGGTGGTCGGCATGCCAACATCAAACACATGTATGAATGTGATGAGGCTGCATGGGATGCATAACTAGAGACACGATTCCAAAGTAGTTCACAGTCAGCAATCAGTCATCCTCAAAAAACCATCCGCCAAATCCATAGTAAGTGGAGAAGGAGGATGGCGACGATGTCGGTGTGGATGTCGTGTCATTTTTAGTATTAGGTGCATTTCCACACACCGTACCAAACTCTAAATCCTACATCGAAAGAGTCATCATTTAATTTTTATAGGAAATTAAGAAACCTTATGACTTTGAAAACATAATATAAGCACCAATACGTCATAACCAAACATCTTGGCTCGGGAACTTAGGCACAAGAGCTGAAGGTCATTGTGTGAGAGCACCCCTCTCACCCAATCAAGTGATTAGCCTCTATTAATCATTTATTTTATGAGATTATATAATCAAATAATTTCACAAACTCAATTATTAACCTAAATCCCTTACTAATCGAACAACTAGGTGATTTGAATAAATACTTCATTCAAGTTGGATTTAAATGAATATAACCACATCAAGTCAATGATTTTCCATAAAGTAATAATTTTCTTACCAAAAAGATGGCTTTTATTTCACAAGGCTATAAACACAATCCAACTTTAGCAATATCATTAAAAAGCATTCAAGACATCCAATTGATCACCAAAAGCACATAAACTTGCATTATTAAAGAATAATGCACCAAACAAGCAAATATGATATGAAGAAGGGAAACTTGCCCGAATTCTGACGTACGCAAATATGAATTAAATAATATACATATGATCCTAAACATGCAACTGAACATACACAACGCCAACCTAAGCCCGGTATAATGACTACTAGCATGATTTGATACAAATAAGCAACTAACATATACAATCTAACATGATTAACATTATATGATGATTAAATCAAGCATCATGCATGTAGATATGGAGATTGAACTAACCTAAACATGCAACAAATATACATCTTACTAGAACATGCATAACAAATCGAAAAACATGCAAAACTACCAACCTATATGATTGTACATGCTTCCTGACACTAACCATGATCTAATAATAAAAACATGATTAAATCATACTTAAAATAAATAAAATCAAAGGACTTACCCGCTAGTTGGAAACAAACCGAAGAACACGAGAAAAAGTCAAGATTTCTTGCTTGAAATATTGCCTCAAGCATTGGCTTTGCTTTGATCTATTTTTCTTCAAACCCTATATCTACTTTTAGTTGTAGAGCTATTGTAATAAGATTGTATTTTTGGAATTAGGGTTAGGGGTGAAGTGATCACACTGCAAACTTAGCTAAAACACTCAAAACTCTAGCTAAAAGTTGGTCTCCCCCAAAGGGAAGAAGGGATGTATTTATAGGTAAGGAGAGGCCTGGAGGCCAAGCTAGGAGTTGCTAGGGTTCCTTATCGCTTTCTCCTTGCGCATCTCGTCCAAAACACAACAACGATCTAAAGCGAAATGGAATTATGGACTGTTGATTGTACGTGCAGGCACAAAAGGCATATGCGGCACATATGCAGCCGCACTTACCCAACTTAGGGACAAGTGCAAACGCATCCAAAGGTCTGAATTTCCATGCAAATGTGTGGGTTTTCCATGCAGACGTGCAGTTTTTACATGCAATGTGTGGATTTTCCATGTGACATGCAAATTGACTCTTTCGATGTTCCATGTCTTGGTCAACCCACTATTTCACTAGGTTCCAAGTCAATTTTTCAACTTTTGGGCCTGTGTGAGCCCAATTAACTCTCAATCGACATTTTTAAGTGAAAATCAATCAATGTGTTCAAAATATCATCAATTCAAGTTAACCAGACCTTCCCCTCTCGATCTCTTTATGTGGGACCAAAACGTTAGATTTTATCTAAAAATGGGTTCAATGGCAAAATGGTCATTTTGCAAAAAGATATTTTTGGCTTAAAAATAGGGTGATACAACAGTTCGCAACAACTTCAATTATCTCTAAGGATAAAGTATTTACTATTTCATCATCGGGAAGCTTTCAAGCCCCTAAAGTCAAGGTCGTTCAAAATAGGACGTCTACAGGATGAAGAAAAAAAATACATTTGATGTATAGAGACTACAAAAGAGGTATTCAATGGTAAACAACAAATTCAATCGGTGGGAGTTGGACTTCAAACTTGACATAGTATAGTTCAAGGGTTGTTTACAACTAAAAGAATTTCCGGACTGGGTTGCAACAGTTGAAAAGATCTTCGATTCAAAGCGGTTTCCCTTGACAAAAGGGTTTCTTTAGTGGAAACCAAATTCAGGGGACATGTTGCTTCAATATGGAAACAAAAACATATTCAGATTCATCATAGAAATCAAAATACATATTTGTGGGGAAAAAACTGCTTAAGCATGTACGTGCATCGTTCTTATCCAACAATCATGTGAGGACGTTGTACCAATTATTCCAAAATTTGTGGCCGGGATCCAAAAATTGTCAATGATTATACTTCTATAATTTTATCAGCTCATGTTGGTGCCCCGATACATTATAGACTTATAGCAACAGTTTTAGGATAAGTTCAATATTTTTTTATCCAGTTTTGACTTTCAGAAGCACACCAGAGAGCATTAAGTATTGAGAAGCAATTGAGCTGATGGCTTAGAAAATCAATTATTTTCCAAGGTAGAGGGATAACTGTTCTAACCCTTCAACCCTAAATCATAATCCTACTTTTGCAGCAACAAGGAGGGCTACTGCAAGTGATCTACCTAACTAGGCAATAACTAATAATGCTTCAACGTGTTGATTTGAGTTTGGTGAAATGGAGCATAGGATGGTAGATTGCAACAATGAAGGTCGTTATGATAAGGACTTGCTTATAGACAATGCACAGAGTGACAATGAACTAGTGGATGAAAAGCTAAAGCTCAAATTGACAAAGATGATGTTAATGAAGAATTTGTGCAGGGTGATGATGATTCATTACTAGTAATTCGAAAGGCTTGCTTTACCTTCCAAAACATTGACCATGACAATTGACTTCATAATAATATCTTCCAATCCACTTTCACTACTGACTTCATAATAATATCTTCCAATCCACCTTGTTATTGATTCTAGCAACTATAAGAACGTTGTTATAGAGAAAGTTATTTGAAAATTAGGATTGGCAATAAAAAAGAATCCAAGCCACTATAAGTTGTCTTGCCTTAAAAGGGAAAACGAGCTAACTATGTCAAAATGGTGCTTAGTTTCTTTTTTCAGTTAGATTTAAATATAAAGATAGAGTGGTACGACATGGTCACTATGGATGCATGTCATCTCGTGTTGGGTAGACCTTGGTAGTATGATAAGGATTCCTAGGATATGTGAAGAAAAACACTTATAGTTTTTGTTGGACAAGACCAAGATTGTGCTCTTACAAAGTAGGAAGGTTGTACCCAAACCCTCCTCTGTAGAAGGTAGCAATCTATTAACACATAATGTGTTTTTGGGAGAGACACAAGAATCAAGAATTGTGTATATGTTAATTAGAAAGTACTGTATAACTGATAATACAATTCTAAAGCATCGCCTTAATTGTGGAGTTCAATGATATGTTTTCGAAATATCTTCCAAATCACTTATCATCTTTGCGTGACATCTGACACCTTTGCATGACATCTAACACTAGATTGATTTAGTGCTTGGAACTAGTCGTCTGAATCGCCCCATTATCAGATGAGTCTAAATGATCATAAGGTGTTGAAACGACAATTAAAGGCATTACCATCCAAGAGCCCTATTTGGAGGAGTATGAGTTATGTATTTTCTTTATTCAAGCCCAAGAAAGATGGGTCAATGAAAATGTGTGTCAAAAATCAAGCAATCAACAAAATAATAGTTCAATACGAATTGCTCATTTCTCGATTAGATGATTTGTTAGAACAGTTGAGCAGCACACAATATTTACCAAACTTGATAAGAAAAGTTGTTTATCATATTTGACTTGGACTCAGCGACAAATGGAAAATCATTTTCAAGGCCAATGAGAGGTTAGTCATGCCATTTGGGCTCTTTAATGCCCCAAGCACATTTATGTAAGTAATGGACCATATTTTTCACCCTTTTATCGGTAGGTTCGTTGTATTCTATTTTGACAATATTTTATTTTATAATCTTACTATTGAATTGTTGCAGGATGTCTTTATAGTATTGCGTAAATTGAAGTTTTTTGGTGCCATGACCAGTGTTCCTTTCTAATAGAACATGACTTATTTATAGGCTATGTTGTTTCAAAAGAGGGGTTTAGGGTGGATGAATCCAAGGTTCAGGCTATCAAACAATGAACATAACCAAGGATTGTTAGCGAGGTTCGAAATTTCCATGGTCTGTTATGCTTTTGTCGTAAGTTCATTTATGCTTTTGTCATAAGTTTATTCTCAATTTCAGGACTATCATGGAACCAATTAATGACTATATGAAGAAAAGGCATTTTAATTGGACAGAAGCAACAACTGAGGCATTTTTCATATCAAACAGAAGCTAACTTAACTACCATTTCCTTACTTTTCTTGATTTTGCGCAATGCTGCATTGTGATACTTCTAAGGTTGGGATTGATGCTA